GAGATAATTCATACTATGAAATACAAAGCATTCTTATCCACTATTTAGAATACTAACAAAATAATTAGATAAAACATTCCATGTGGAATTTACATCATTAGGGCAATTAGGGCAATTCCACTGTCACGGACGTTGCATTCTGAGAGGTTGGAAATTATTTCAGTTGTCATTATTACTAGAGTATTGTCTCGTGAAATTTGATACTGTGTTATAGACTTGCTTATGCCACGGGCATTCTCATGCAGAAAAGTAATATTCTTAGCTTGGTATACAGCTTGAGGTAAGTACATAGGTAAAAAACTAAGTGCTATGTCCTTTTGATGTAATGTCCATTACACATATATTTCTGATTAACCACAAGCTGTATGTCAAGCTCAGAATATTTCCACTTGACATGAGAATGCCTGTGTCAATTCCACGAGCAATACAAGTAATAGGGGCAACTGAAATAACTTCCAACCCTTCCGAATAAAATGTTTGCCACCATGGAATTGCCCATTTTTTGACCAACCATGAGAAAATATTTATTGAAACCAAAAATCATAGACATAGTTAAAATTTCAAAGTCTAATGAATGTTGCTTGAATGGTTCTTATCTCATGTCTTTTCATGAAGGACTTAAACGAATGAGTTTTTAGAATACAAAAATACATCGTCACGGAAATCTTGTATTGTCAGTGATTACTAGTACCTAAAAACCAGTGTTCCTAACATTAATTAAAACCTAAATTAAATTTATAATCCAAGAAGAATTTGAAAGTGTGTGTGTTGGGGGGGGGGCGATATATCTATGATGCTGCTACATGTAAAATATAGAAAATCATTTTATCATTAACCAAATTCACTCTGCTTGAAAATAAAAGCAATATGTATGCTCACAGCTCTTCCAAGGTCTACTTGAACACCACACACCACTTCACCAACATCTTCAGTACGATTCTTGTTAATGTAATCTTGCCAATAGTGTCGTAATTCTTTACTATATTTCTGAAAATACCCCAGCATTCCTGGATAGTAAACAGATACATACATTGTCAGCATGTTTGAGTTATTAGTAGTAGCCTAGGGAGTCAGGGTGGATTTGGCAGTAGCTTAGGTGGGAACGTAATAATCTAGCAAATTATAATGGCAGACAGTTCAAAAGAATTTTTTCCAAGTTGGAAATATCACGTTTGGACAAAAATATTCATAAAAATTAAAGACTGAAGATATCACCTGAGGCACCTATATACTAAATAACAAAGCACTCAGGCTTGTGGGTTTCAAGAAGAAGTCAAAAATATTAAACAAATCTGAGAAAGAACCACCATAGATAGGTGTAGTGATCATGAAACCAATACAGCTTAATTTTCAAAAAGAAGTCCAAAATATAAAGTTGACACTGACAACGGGTTCCAATGAACAATCAGGAATATGATAAGCTTTGCTTAACTTTGTTGTCAATTATTCTTAGGGCGGAGCTATGTCACAAGACGTTCTACGTTGCTAAGGAGCACACCACTGTAACATGTATTTCTATGAGCTCTGCATGAGCTGCTGTGGAACACTGGTTGAAGAGCTGGTGAAAATAGCTAAAGTCGAGAAAACAGCACAAACTTAACTTCTAAGTAATCCTGCGCAACCAAATGTATATATAATGCACATGCAGGATATGGGTAATATTATTACATTATTCAGTAGAGTCTCATCAACTATCCATAAGTACTGTTTTCTGAGAGTTTTCAGCCAATGTTTTCACCATGATGGCTGCCAGGCACTGAAAATGCCCGGATGTCCTACTCGAGGATTAGTAAGGGACAAACTTGCGAGTATTATTTACATTATCATAAGAAGACAGTATTTATCCGGTATATAGTAAAATAGGTTGGAAATGTGAGACCAGGAGTGGTTAGATAGTTTAAATACGAGTATAAATAAAGGGGTTAGAAAGTTACCAATACAGACAAAATGACCATTATCCACTGACGTACAGCCATAATTTTTTCAAAAAATAGTTTTGTGACCCCCAACTTTTTTTAAGTCAATATCGGTATCCTAATATTGTCCAGGAGTACAATTTATTGCAAAATGACTAAATTCTGGATATTTTAAAAAGTGTTTGATTAAGGGTTTTCAAAAGGTATATCAATAGTTACCAAGGAAACCAGGTTAAATCAATAAATGCCCAAGGAAGATGTTGAGAGTATTTTCAATCAAAGAAGCAGGTTAGCAACATTGACATAAAGATAAGAGAGAGCTTTCAATATGAGTAGTGGAATGAAGGATAAGAGTCGAGGGAAGCAGGCTCGAAAGTCAAGAATATAATATGAAATATGAGAACAACCAAATTATGTAAGTCTAGAGAAGAAGATTAGAAATTAATTGAAGTCTTGGGAATCATGTTGGGTAGTTATCAATAGAAACTACAGAAGAGGGTGAAAGTATAGAAAGCATTTACGACTCGTATAAATTATAGCAGGTATAAAAACATGTGATATAGTAAACTAACTACCTTAAAAGTACTGTAAGAATATTTATATATAAATACCTTTAATGCTTGTATGATTGAAAGCTGGATTGATCAGTTTTCTCTGAGATGTATGTTCATTGCCAGAAGATGACAACAACCCATTACCCATCAGTTGAGTGAATGTCCTATCAGAAGAACAGATGACAACAACCCATTACCCATCAGTTTAGTCAATGTCCAATCAGAA